TCAATCCCTCCAGGGATGGGGACTCCACCACTGCCTTGGGCAGTTGTGGGTTGTCCCACCTCATGTCCTCTCTATATCTCTCCAGCTTAGAATCACAGAACAGAATCATAAAATCATTTAGGTTGGAAAAGAACCTTAAGATCATCAAGTCCAACCATTAACCCCACACTGCCAAGTCCACCAGTGGGGGTTCAGCCTTTCATCCAATCCCTGGGGTGAACCCCACTTGGAGAAGGGTCACTGGGCTGGGGGCTGCCCATGCTCAGCAAGGAGAGGGCCACATCCTGCACCACCACCTCCATCTTCCCAGCCTGTCCTCTGCTTTGCCACCACTTCTGATCCCCCCCCCAGGTCCACCATGGCTCTGTCTCCACTAAGAACTTCTCCCCAGAGCATCAGTCACAAGCCCATGAAGGTGTTTTCTCCTCAGAGCTGTGTCACCTCCCAGTGACACTTGCATTCCTTGGGCAGATGGGGTGGCTGGAGCTCCCCATGGATCCAGACACAATTATCTAGAAGAAGTGCTGGAAAGGGAGCTGAGTATCTTGGCAGTTGGTTGGGGAGAGGGGAGAGCAGCAACGTTGTGGTGACATTTGTGGTCCAATTGCACCACCTAGAGGGAAGCAGGACCAGGACAAGGGACAGACTGGGGACCTCTGCCAGCTCCAGTCCCGAGTTGCTCTGTGGCACTGGTGGGGGTCTCTGTCCTACCCCACAGCCCAACCAAGCACTTCTGTAGTGGTCTCCACACCTCTGGGAGATGTTGACCTCCATGGTGGAAACCACAGAGGTTGCTGCATGCTCCAGTGTGGAGACCAGGGTCATTGGGCTCTGAAGAACAGAAGGCCAAACACCTCCACCTTTTGCATGGAGAAACAAGGACTTGGCTCCAACCTACTCTCACCTTCTTCTCCCCAGCCCTCATCTTACCTTCCTCATGGCCTCCATCTGTGCAAGGTCCCTGCGGCGAAGACGCACCCAGCGCCGTCGCCGGTTGGTGTGGTACATCTTCTCAGCTGGCACCCAAGCCTTGGGTTTGCGGTCTGGTGGGATGGTGATGCCATATTCCCAGCCTTGGAGAGAAGGAGGACACCTGGGTGAAGGTGGGAGAAGAGCTTCTCACCTTGCCTCCCACCAGGGACTTCCCATCATGTATGTCCTGGTTGGAACATCTTGAATAGCAAAGGTTTGTCCAGACACAACATGCTTTCCCACCAGTAGGTCCACACAGGCAAGGACCTGCTGCTACCTAATGGAGGTGACCTACTGGGGATGCCCAGGTGACATATTTATGGTGTCCCACCAGCCCTTGGCTCAAAGTCACAGCTTGAGGACTCTCCTCTCTGTCATTCCTTCTTCAGGCAACCCCAACCCCTGTGACCACCTCAGATACTCTCTGGCCTGATGCTTTCTATTTCTCTTTCACCAGAAGCCAGGTAAGATCTTCCAGAAGAACACCTTGGAGTATCTCCAGCAGCAAGGAAAGTGTTGGGGCTGCCCACCCCACAGCCCCAGCCTGGGACAGAGAAAGGGGGAGAAGGTACTTCAGGGCTTGACCCCCTTCTCCTGAAGCCAGCGTGGCTCACAGAGCCACAAAGGAGATGTTCTCATCCATGGTTCTGGTTGGGACCACAGAAGGAAACACCACAATGGGCAGAGAAAAGGGGATGAAAATGTCATGGGTGCCCAAAACAACTTTCTGGTACCTTTCTCATCCACTGCTCTGTTGAGGTCTGTGTCCCACTCCACATCTTCCCATTTCCAGCCTGGAGGACACTCAATTTCATCCTTATGCAGGACCTTCTCCCCGTTCTGTGGGATGCAGGGATGTTTCCAATCAAACGCTGCCCAGCAGATGCCTACATCTCCCCTGAGCCCCCAGGGGCTTCCTACCACAGTAGCCTGGGGTGGTGGCTCAGCCCCAGGTTGTCCACTTCATCCTTACCACGTCGGTGTAGGCATCAGTCATGTGGATCCACTGGCCTCCAGGCAGCCGGACCTGGTTCTCAAACACCTCCTCCACAAAGCTCAGGTGTCCAGCATCCACATCATGGAGCAACCTGCACCCCAGGGAGATGCACAGAGTCAGGGGCTCCTCATCCTGCCCTCCCAGCCCTCCATGGGCAGCAGCACAACCTCATGTCCTCCCTCCTCATGATTTGCCTCCTGAACTTCTTCCAACCCAGATGCACCAAGCAAAGGTCCCATGAGATCTCAGCAACCTGGCTCAGGTGAAGCCCAACACAAGAAGATGGCAGAGCTGTGCTGAGCATCCATCATCCCCTCAGTGTCCTGCTGAGATCTGATCTCCAAAGGTCCTCAGTGTGGGGCTTGCACAGGAACCCCAGTGAGGTGGGTGCTGGAGACATGATGTCCATGAGTGTCCACCACCCCAGGGACATCACCCAGTGAAGAGATGATGCATTTTTGCATTAACATCATTGCCTACCAAGGATGGGCCCAGCAGATGAAGAAGCCCCATGGCACCTCATATCTCCACCCAGCTTGCTGGATGACTTTGCCACCAGTTTAGCATCTACTGAGGTATTTGGGATGTCCAGGACAGCCCACCCAGGCTTTGCACTTTGTAGAAAACCATCACTCACGTCTTTTCTGGGCAGATGAACCAGTCCCCAGCCCAGGTCCAGCCTGTGGAGGGGCGGAAGCTGTCCTTGGGCAGCTTGATCTTGCCGGTGACATCTGAGTATTTGGGGTAGGTCAAGCCAGTGGTGCCCCAGTTCCCCACCAGCGCCAGTTTGGTCTGGTTCTCATACTGGGAGAGCAAAAGTAGAGAAGTTCTTGTGTTGGAAGCACAAAATCTCATGAACAATTCTTCTGAAATCCCATGAATAATCCCTCCCTTCCTGGAGAGCCCCATCCTGAGGACAAACCTCCTGGGAAGAGCCTAACCCCCACCACCAGCCCTTCACCTCCATGAGCACCCCCAGATTTCCCACCCCAGCAGGCAGAAGGAGATGTGAAACCACGATGAGGTTTTCTGGTTCACCACCAACCTTCTCCCCAGCCTTTCAGGTTGAATGCTGATGGAAACAACTCTTTCTTCTCAGGGTTGGTAGGGGTTGATGTGACCCTCACCTAGCAGTGTCTTCAACCACAGTCTAGCCCATCCCTTCCCCTCCATGGTGGAGCTACTGACCACACCAGAAAGAAAACAAAACCCCCTTTATGGTGATCGTGGTGAGATGCTCACGGTTTCGGCGAAGACGGAGAGCTTCCCCTCGGCGAACTGGTTAAACTCCTTCTCATCGACCGACAACCCGAACCAGAGCTGGACCCGGACCTGGGCTGGGATCCTTGGACCCATCGCCTCCTCCTGGGGGTACTGTCAAAGGTAAAACCCCGTTAATATGTCCCCAAGGAGGACATTAATGAGGGACACTCAGGATGTGAGGCTGAGGGTGGAGGGTACGAAGTCTCTGCAGCTTGGGATGTGAGGCAGAGGGTTGGGTGGGACATGGGCCATCCTTGGGAATTGGGACATCAACAGTGTGCAGGGTCCTTTGGGAATGACCTTTTGGGGCTGCTCAGTTTGGAGAAGAGAAGGCTCCAAGGAGACCTTCTAGTGGCCTCCCAGTACCTGAAGGGGCTCCAGGAAGGGTGGGGAGGGACTTTGGCCAAGGGCAGGGAGTGACAGAACAAGGGGTGATGGCTTGAAAGTGGCAGAGGGGAGATGGAGCTGAGATGTGAGGAAGAAATTGTTTGGTGTGAGGGTGGTGAGCCAGTGTCCCAGGTTGGCCAGAGAAGCTGTGGCTGCTCCTCCCTGGAAGTGTTTGTGGCCAGGTTGGATGAGGCTTTGAGCAACCTGGTCTAGTGGAAGGTGTCCCTGCTGCTGGCAGGGGGGTTGGGACTGGAGGAGCTTGAAGGTCCCATCCAACCCAAACCATTCCATGATTCTATGATCTTGAGGAGCTTCCTAGCCCTGATGGTCAGGGTTTCTGTGTCTTGGTGAAACATCCTTCAGAGCTGGGACACCAAACCCAGCCAACATACTTCAGCAAAAATAGAACAAACACGGAGACATCTCGCTGCCCTTTTTTTCTCTCTTTCAGTCCCTTTTTTCCCCTTCCAGTGTCTCCAGTTTTCCATCCAGAACTAAAGTCCAGAAGAAGAAACAAACCCAACCTGATTTCTTTTGGTTCATCTTCTGCTGCCAGTTGGGGTTGGACTTTGGGGGGGTTTCTTATTTTCTTTCACTTTATTTTTTTAGAGCTTGTTCAGCCCAGATTTTCTGCTCCCAACCTGGCAGGCAGAGAAAGGCCAAAGAAACCTCATTTGAGATGTGAGAAGTTGGGTAAGTGGTTGGCAGAAGAGGCCACAGTTTGAATTTCCTGGGGTGGTGGCAGAAGGTCAGGAATTTGGAAAAAAAAACATAAAATAACATTTTTTTCTAAAAAAAAAACAGATTTTCTTAAAAAAAGCAAAATCTGGGCTAAAGTTCATCCATCTTCACTTGGAGAAAATATGAAGATATTCACAGGGATCTGCTGTAGATCCAGGTAAGAGGAACTGAGCTCCACCAGAAGGATCTCATCATGCAGGAACCAGTTTGAACAGTGGGTCTGAGGGTCCCTGGAGCCCCAGGTGGTCGTGAGTTAAGGTTGTGTTGGGATTTCAAGTAGAGGAAAATGTTTTAAGAACATTTTTAAAGGCCAAGAACGTACACCAAAAGCCAAGGTACCTTCAAGAAGATGGTCTGAAGCTTCCCACAGTTCTTGCCACAGCAGTTGGAGATGTTCCTGGAGAAGAGGACCTGGTGGGCTGGCACGCGGGCGTACGCTACGCGCTTGTCTCCCTGCAGCATCCAGATGACAATATCTGGCAGGCTGTTTTGGGGCTGGAAAACACAAAAGTCACAGTGTCCAACCAGGAGGGTTCTGAACTGGTACATCATAAAATCATCGAATCCCAGACTGGTTTGGGTTGGAAAGGACCTTAAAGATCATCCAGTTCCAACCCCCACTGCCAGCAGCATAGGGTTATCAAATCATGGAATGTTGGGAGCTGGAAGGACCCACCGGGATCATGGAGTCCAACTCCTGTCCCTGCACAGGACAATCCCAACATTCACACCATGTCCCTCAGGGCCTTGGCCAAATGCTGCTGGCATCTTGTCAGGCTTGGTGCCATCAGCACCTCCCTGGGGAGCCTGTTCCAGTGCTCCACCCCCCTCTGCCTCAAGAACCTTTTCCTCATGGCCAACCTCACCCTCCCCTGCCACATCTTCCTGCCATGTCCTCTGCTCCTGGCATTCGTTGGTGGCCAGAGAGAAGAGATCAGCGCCTGCCCCTCCTCTGCCCCTTGGGAGGAAGTTCTAGACCCCCATGAGATCTCCTCTCAGTCTCCTCTTCTCCAGGCTGAACAACCCAAGTGACTTCAGCGTCTCCTCATACCCTTCCCCTCTAGACCCTTCACCAGATGATGAACAAAGTTACTTGTCTTAAGGGGACACCAAATGGGTTATGAGTAGAAACACATGTTCCATAGAATCATAGCAGGGACACCTTCCACTAGACCAGGTTGCTCAAAGCCTCATCCAACCTGGCCAAGAACTCTTCCAGGGAGGAGCAGCCACAGCTTCTCTGGCCAACCTGGGACACTGTCTCATCACCCTCACTGCAGCTGCACAGGGATGTGTGAGGCTGGAGAACAGCCATGCCCCAAGTTCTGCTGCCAACCCAAGCCCATGGAGTGAGACCAGTCATCCCAAAACCCATCTTAGCAGCTCCAGATCCCACCTGGGTCTGGCCAGGGTAGAGCAGCCCCACATTTCCCCACGCTCTGCCCTCCACAGCCACCCCAGGTCTCTGCAGCAGCGTAAAGCTCTGCCATGAACCAGGCTAAACCTCAATTGGTGGCCACCAAACCTGGCACCTTCCTAAGCTGGGTCACATCACTGTGGTGGGATGCAACCCTTGGATGGGGGGTCATCCTGTGAGAGCATCTCTGCATCCCACCACACCACCAGGTGATTGCTGACACCATCACACCAAAACAGCACCATGATGGTGAGCTTGGGAAGAATGAGACCCCTCCAAGGTAAAAAGCAACTCGTGTCACTATCACAGCAACGTTACCTCCTCTGCCATGGCCTTCAGCCTGGAGAGCCAGTCCTCTGCCTGTTCCAGGGCTTCCAACAGGCTGGAGTCTTCATGTTTGAGCTTCAGAGCTGCCTTCACTATCTGCTCCAGGTTGGTGCTGCGATACCGATACATGTTCTGGTCCAGGTGGGTGCTGGCTGGTTTCCCCAGGACATCGGGCAGGGTCAGGCTGTGGAGATGGGCAGAGAAGTAACATGAACATCTCACTCACCTTCTCATGGAGTTTTGCTGTCTTTTTTTAATTATTATTAATTTCTTTACCTCCTTTTCAGCAAGTTTCCAAAGAATTAACAAGCCACCAAAGAGAGGTTTGAAGAACACGGCAATGCCAAGAGCAAAGGAGCTTCAAACCACACTTGCAACTCCCACCTATCACCCAGAGGAACCAGGACAGACTCCTGGTTGAATCATAGAATGGTTTGGGTTGGGAGGGACCTGAAAGCTCATCCAGTCCCAACCCCCC